CCCCCTTCGAGCCAAACAAAAAGATGACAACTGATTCCAACTGAAACTGCGCCCAAACCTGGAACCGGGGAGCGTTTTTTTTTTCGCTGAGATGAAGTCGGTGGCCAAGTTTGCGGCTACCCGCTACTGTCGATAAAGCGTGACACATGAATTGCTGCCATTTTGAGGCAGGGCACCATGGCACCCAAAAAGAAGCCCAGAGGGCGTCGACGGAATAGATCTGTTCAGGGTTACTGTTATATGTTGGGGTTACATTGGGATAATGGAAAAAGAAATGGAAACTACCATATTATAAGGCTGGGTATATATAGGGGTTATATAGAGCCCGAGACCCATAACATATTTGTGTCTTATTGTATTCCTCCGGGTAAGCTCTTCCGTGTCTTGGGTGGCAAACATATATTGGCAGTTGCCTAACTTGGGTCCGAACAGATTCGATACAACAGAGGAGCCCCCCAACCCAAAACATGCACCATCATGCCGGGCGGCCCTGTTTGCTTACCAAAAATGGGCTTGCCCTGGAGACTATTTTCACAGTCCAGAAATCCGCTGCACTCTAGGCGCTGAGACTTCAAATGTATGGAAACGGGAGAAAATCATAGCCTCTTGAAAGGCGTCTGCGTACATCCACGACCGAAAATGAAAAAGAGGCGTGCCTGCGCCTTGCATCGCCCTTGCTGTTTTAGCAATGTCGTGTTTTTGGGAAACACAGCTGGCCAGCGTGAGGGCTTGCCTTTCCAAGCTTTTGTTGCTGGGCATTCGATGAACAAGGACCACTTTTGGGAGGTCCCTATAAGAAGGATTGTAACATGTTGGGGTATGTAAGAAGGCCCCTTGCTGTGGAAATCCCATATGTGAATGCATGTACAGCTCAGGAAGTCTGCAATGCGTTTATCCTTCTCATGTTTCGACCGACCCTCATCGTCGGCTGCCTCTTGCCAGTGTGCTCTCCAAGGAAACGGCCAGGTTTGGCTGTATCACATATAGTGGTTACATAGGGATAGTGGAAAAGAAAATGGAAACTACTATAATGGGTTATATAGGGGTTATAGGGGTCACATTTCATTTCGGGGTATATGGGGTTCTATTAGCCCCCCTCTTTGGCTCTTGACGCTGTCATGTGTCATGTGCACATGTTAGGATTCACGCGCAGGTCCCCGCATGAGATGCTGTAAGGAGTCATACGGAATCTCGGCGGGAAATGGGCAATGGTAAGTAGAAACATTTGGGATTGGAATAGAAGGATTTTGGTACAGAATTGCGAGACTGTTGCAGGGATGCATTCCTCCCTTCCCTACTAAGCAAACGCCCGTTTCAGGCTCGTTCTGCTGGATCAGGGTTCAGCGTCGAGGGTTTAGTGATTGCGGCTTAGGGGCCTTGATATACGGAATACAAGGGGGGATTGCGTTGCCCTGTTTTTGATTCATTCTCAGGGATTGACGACCTCGCATCTCCAACAGGGAGATGAACACATGCTAAAGGAGGCTTGCACTCTGTATAATGTCTTGGGTTAACATGGAGCAGCCTACGTGTGTATGGGTTTAGGGTTTGGGTCTTATGTTCAATGTAATGAAATGAAATGTAGTGTAATGTAATGTAATGTAATGTAGGTAGATAATGGTAGATAGGTAGGTAGGTAGGTTGCACACTGGCTGTAATTTATATACCCGCAAACTTCAGCTTCGTTCATAGCCAACGCCACACGGGGAAGTATCAGAGCAGAGGAGAGCGGAGAAGGAAAACCTGAATGAGGATAACCTGCCCTGAAACCCTCTTTAGGGTTTTGGGTTTAGGGAAGATGGAGCCTATAGGCCTAATAGAGCTGTGAAAAAAGTAGGTATATGAATTTGATTGAAATAATAAAGCTTCCGCCCGCGAGCTTCCGCAGACCTTCCGCGAAACCTCCGCGAAGACTACTGGCGGGTTTTCCAACGCTGTGCTTCCGCAGGCACTTCTGCGGACGTTTTCGTCCAAGGCGCTTCCGCGGCGCTTCCGCGAAAGGGATTTCTAGTCTTCGGCGTTATCCGTCCAAAATTGAAAAAGAGCTTCCACAAGAGCTTCCGCAAGCGAAGTGCTTCCACGAAAGCTTTCGCGATCGTCCGCGCGCATAGTAGGAAGCACTTTTCGGAAGTTGTCGCTGGCCGATTTCCGACGTTATTTCCGTATCTAATTGACTTTCCATAGCGCCTATTTTTTAACACTGCTCAATAGGGTTTAAGGGACCTTTCAGGGGAACAAGTACCTGGCCTAAAAATCTGTATACACATACACAAATTGTGCTATCTGTGGGTTATTTATGGGATATATACTAATCACCATTTGGGCTCCGACGCCTTTAACCCACACCCCAAACCCCAGCCAACCCTGACCCCAAACAAAAACAAGCATGTCTGCCAAAATGACACCGCTTGTCGGAAGACTTCCACCTAAACATGATATGACAGTCTTGAGAAGCTTTGAATGAAATTGCAGGATTTGTGGGAAACCTGCAGGCACAATGGACTTGCTTTCGTTAGGGATTAAGGTTTCGGAAAAGGGCTAAGTGGTCCACAGTAGTTCAAGCGGGGTTATGTGTTGCAGCTTTGAAAAGGATGATAATGTTTCAGGGCATATTCGGGGACCCCTGATTTCTGAAAACATCCGCTTCTGTAAAACAACCCGCAAAAGGCTCGAGTTATAGTCTAGACTCCTAGTATCCCCGTTAATAACCCCTGTAGTAATCACTTATATGACCCCGTTTTAAGAAGTTTTGTCTGTAGTTCACTTGAGAAATCAGTCCCAGGTGCGTGTGACACACGCTTAAAAATCTCCGACACGCCATGCACTTTGCAGGCAACATCTTCACCCGGAACCTCACCAAGGGATGGCGGATTGTTTGGTCTTGTGGAAAAAGGACACAAGTGCCACCGCCAGTATCACGGAGAAGACCTGACTGCAACAGCCCGCGGCCAAAAGGGCTCCAGTTTTTTTTATTTGTGTAAGACATTGGGGTTTCCGGGAATTGTAATGCAGTACACTTGGCTTTGGATGATCGAGGGTGTGGAACTTTGAAAGGAGTTTCTTAAATTTTGTTTTGACCGTCGCGTGGCAACCCATCTAGCATGGTTCAGGCGTGCTTAGCATTTACCCGGACTACTTACCTCAAACGATCGTAAAAGCAAGCTCCTTATGCTGTGCATCATTCAGACATTCTGCTGGTGGGAAAAAGAGTATATATGGTAGTTTCCCGGTACAAGGGGACCCCCAAAAGGGTACCCCTAGATTTGGGAAACCCCATATTGGATCTTCGCATTCTCTCGGGGTCTGGGGGTAGGGGTTGGCCGAAGATCCAAACCAAAGCCGTCCATGACAGTTCAAGCCCAGAGGCGCCAGAAGGGTTCATCTATCTATAAAGGCTTGTTACTAGCATTATAAAAAGCATTATTCCTATGGGTTTTACTATTATACAAGTATTATTTCAAATATTACCAATACAAAGGTATTGGTACTATTCTTACTATTATCTTTATAATTCATCTAGGTATGAAGGTTTTGCTAGCAAATTCTCACAAGCTCCTTGAGGGTGCCGATTGAATAGCAAGCGGAGTTTGCCGGACAAATGCCTGGGCAAATAGCCAAGAAAATGTGAGCTATGGTCTACCTACCCGCCTAGTATCACCCTTAATAACCCCTTCTAGTAGTCCCTCAAATAATCCCATTTAAAACCCCTGTAAGGAGTTTACACTACAGTTCGTATTATGAACCACGCAAGCTGACCGATCATACCTTCAGACCTAAGCTCTCAACCTGAACCATAATTTAGCACCCGAAGCCCTGAACCCTAAGCCTTAAACCCTGAACCATAAACCGTAAGCCCTGTAAACCCTGAGTCTCAACCCCAAGGCATACATCCTGCAGAGCGTTGCGAGGGTCTATCTATTTAAAATCATCTTGCGCCACAGTACACGAACAAGGGTTGTAAGGGATAGTGGTGGTAATTATTTTGGCTTCTACAGTGGAACCCAGCGACGACAGAGACGGCTGCCGCCAGGAGTCGTGAAGCCACAGGATCTCTATATGTGCCTGGTGCAGGACATAAGATAGAGTTTAGGGTTTGTTTCGGGTGGTAGGGTTTCGGGTGTAGGGTCTAGGGTGTAGGTTTGCAGGGTAGGGTTCTGGGTGGCTTTTGGGTCCGCAAAATAACCTCACAGGCAGGCCGGAGTCCTTACCTACCTATTATACACAAGCCCCTTTGGGGCCCATAGTTAGGACCAAGGCAAGAGGTGTTGAGCTGTAGTCTAAACTCCTTAAAGGGAGGGGGGGGGAATATAGGGATTATAAAGGGTTCCTATCATAGGGTTTGTTAAGGGGGATACTGGGAGTTTAGACTATGGCTCATTTGTGGGCTATAGTTCGGACTTTGGCGGAATCGGTCTATGCATTCTTCAGGGGTACATGATTACTATTCTTACAAATATTAGTTCCATTATTACTAGTATTTATTCAGTTGTTAACTGGCATGGTGTACTACTGTCTTCTGCTGTCTATGGTAGCAACGTTTTGCATGTTCCACGCAGAACTTTTGAAAAGAGAAAATCAAAGTTCGCCACTGCGTCCATTTCTGGCCTGCCTTGGAGAAACATCAGTTGGACGTAGATGAAGCCCCAAACACACGCAGCCAGAAGGCAAGCGGCAAGGGCTACCGGCAAAGCGCTGATCAGCAGATCGTGTAGCAAACACCCATGCTCCTTGCGAAGCTTGTAGGCAGAAGCCACAGCCACCAGAATGATGCCGGGTATCCTCGGCTTTGTGATTTCATCATGCTTGAGAACTCAACGAGCAGAGCGCCATGCCTCTTCACACATCTTGCTCATAAGCGAAAAAGAGTGCTCCATCAACATGACGGGTGTATACCTCAACCCTAGGAACTATGGAATCATAGTCTACTTGCTTAGGGCCATGCACGATTTTGCCCATTCAAAGTAAGAGGACCAAGCAGCAGCCACAGCCAAAAGGCGAGCCCAGTAACAGCAACTTCCACCGCAATTGCCGTGTCACGCATCGTCATGTCTCTTCCAACATACAAAGCCGTTCGGTCCAAGAACAACCACATCACTGGGCTGCAAACCACGACTAGTTGCTGGTACAGATACTTTGTACTCATCAGCTGCAGCAGAACGGCTGTCCTGACCTGGCCCCGCACCAGTTCGTCGAATCGAGAGGGGCTTCCAAACCAGATCCCAATGCACTTGAGCATGATGTCACGGTCGCAAATCAAGCGCCCACCCGTGTAAGGATCCACGTGATTCACATCACAACAAAAGCACTTGGCACTTTCGGCGCTGAAATTTCCCAGCTGCTGCTGCAGTGTGTCCAGGCTTCTGCAGAACGCGCGGCCAACGTGAGCTAGACACCCGAAACAAGGCAAGAGACCAACAGACAACAGCAACACCATAGCATCCGAGGTCTCAACAAATGCATTCAGCAGATTTGGAAATGCGAGGAGTAAGATGCAAAGGCCTGCATGTCCCGTCAGCAGCACGGGTCCCATAAGGTTTGGGCGTACCCGTAGATGCTGGCGAGCCTTTGACTGTCGGTCTCGGCTGTGCAAGTAAGATGCCAATTCGAAGACACACCAGAATCGTGTGACCCAGGTTGGATCCCAGAGCACTAGCATAGATGCCGAGCTCTTCCTGAGTTCGATTGCTACTAGTAGTACAACCACAAGATTTCTGTCATCACGATCAGAACCCTCAATGACAAGGGACCGTCTTGCTGCTAGCTATCCCAAAATGCAACAACAGTTCTATGTTTTCAGTTGGTGCTCCCGACGCCGTGGTTGCTGAGGTTCCTGATTCTCTGCAAATCCAAATAGTAAATCAGCCTAGTGCCATCGCAGGTCAATCAGTCATGGTAACTGTTCTGATGGCGTGTAGGCCTGGGGGGAACTCCCCGGGTTGCGGGCTGGTCTCTAGGAGACAGTTTCCTCCCTGCAGTTCAAGGTTTGGTCTTCTAAGGTTCAACTTTCGGATGCTCTGCATGTCGGCCAGCCGACAGGCCGCCTCCAGCCAGGCCGAGGCGGTGCGCAGTCGCATTGAAATTTTGAAATACTATGCGGACTTCCTCCACCGGCCCCGGTTGCCCCGCAGCGACTGCCCTGCTTAGGTATATAGCAGGTGACGATGGGGTAGGGTTTAGTGTAAGTCTTTCCCATGCTTTCCCCCTTACAGTAGCAGTTACCATGAGGTGTAATCTGAGCTAGAATAGCCGCTTAGTCAGGCTCCCTCAAGGACAGCCATTGTACGAGGGAATGGCCGATGTTACAAATCAACCTATCCTGGATTGCTCGTGGCTTCTGAGAGCTCTGAATCCTAAACCCTAAACCAAAACGATCACAATTTACGTTGTCAAGATGCAGGATGGAGCCCATGCTGATCAGGGCTTCTCCCTTCAAGCTCTCATCTTCTTGGTCGATGCAGAGAATATCCTCGGTTAGCAAACGTGTCTTGCGGTTTCGAACACTTGTTTGTGTTTGCTTCTTTATTTAGCTGAGCCTCCAGGAACACAAACCGCTCAGACTGCCAAAGCAGGAAGGACAAATAGTAGAAAGCTGCGCCAAGCACCATGCACCACTGCGATGTGCAGAAAACCACATCTGCCGCCTCTGGCAGCGTGGCAGGCAAGACTTCAGTGACGGTCAAGATCCAACCCAGGATGGCACCCAACATTCCAATGCTAGCTGCCTGGGTTGCTGTTAAGGAACTAAAATTAAGTTACCATAATGGGTATATATAGTAAATAATAGGGTTTCCCCAACATAGTAACTTTAATTAAGTTCCTTAACAGCAACCCAGCTGCAGCCAGGCTGTTGCTCAAATACCAGACCGTGCCAAATTTCATCCAAGCGTTGGTATGCCAGCTGTGGGACCAAAACTCCTGCGATGGGGCTGAGGTGGTGCAGTACAGTCACGACTTTATTATGCCCAGCGACCCAAAGCCCTGAAAAATCCAAACGCTAAACCTGAAACAACGCAAACATTAGACCTTGAACAACCGCAAACACGACACCCTAGATGCTGAAATCTGCCAAGCCTCTACCTTGAAGACCCTGGGAAAAATGCAAGACCCTACACTGGAACCTCCAACCCCATAACCAAGACCCTAAGCCCTCTAGAATTCCAAAGCCTAAAACGCAAGGAGTACGGGATGGACTTCCATTTAGAGCGTGGTCGTCCTCCTCATCGTCATGGTAGCAGAAAGAAGCAGTAGAAGTAGCAATAGCTGTAGTAATAGCAAAAATACGAATAGTAGTAGCGGTGGTACCGTAGTGCCAGCAGCTGCAGTAGTAGTAGTAGTAGTAGTAGTTGTTGTTGTTGTTGTTGTTGTAGTTGTTGTTGTTGTAGTTGTAGTTGTAGTAGTGGTGGTAGTGGTGGTAGTGGTGGTAGTAGTGGTGGTAGTGGTGGTAGTAGTGGTGGTAGTAGTAGTAGTAGTAGTAGTAGTAGTAGGACTAGTAGTAGTAGTAGTAGTAGTGGTGGTAGTAGTAGTAGTAGTAGCAGCAGCAGCAGCAGTACTACTACTGCTACTGCTGCTCCAGCAGTGTTAGTGGTAGGGCTGGGTCTAGTCGTAGCATCGTCGCAATAGTAGCAGTAGTAGCAGCAGCAGTAGGCCAAGTATGAAAAGGACAGTGAAGAGCATACTGCAGCAACGGCAGTGGTCAACTGAGCCATAGTCTAAACCCTAGCATCCCCCATAATGACCCTAGAATCGTCTCCTATGCAATCACATATATAGTCCCCTTTTTAAAGAGTTGAGATTTTGGCTCAATTCGTTGCAAGTCCTGGATGCAGGTCGTCATGCAGCTGTGCTGGTGCGATACCCCAACTTGCCCGCGCAGGGCTGCCCCGCAGCCCTTCAACGCATGCTGCGCCGCGATGCCGCGAATAACATCTGGCCTTGTGGGATTGTAGCAATCATGACGGCACTAGATGGACATACAACAGAGATGTTATAGGTTTTAGGGCTTTTGGTTGCGGATGCTGAAGATTTCGGTTTCAGTTGACAGCTCAACCTCGACAGCATGGCCTTGTGGGCTGCATGCTGGCCACGATGTCCACAAAGGAATCCTTGAACCTCACATGGGGAATGTCACAAGCAGAGGGTCGGACAAAGATCTACAGTCCCGAAGATGGCTTTGGGTATATTATAATAAGATCCCCATATACCCCACGTTCTATCTACTTGAGGGGGACTATAAGCCGAACAAAGCAGGAGGGCACAAGCAAGCAGCAAGCAGGGTTCGGGTTTTGGGCAGCAGCAATTTAACCCTAAGATCTCACGAAAATAACAATGCTGACAGCCACAATCATGATGGCGGCTTCATAATATGAAAGGGGTGTATACTAAAAATCCTGCATGACCGTAGTACAGGTACCCATATATATGCGAAGTATAATGCTATAGAATAGTAAGGTCATGCTGCATTCCTAGGATCAACAGTACTAGGGATCATCCTTCGTGTTTATAGTCAACTAGATTAACAAACATATTAGGTAGAGCGACTGTGATGGCCGTGTCTTGAGCCGAGAACCAAGATTTGTAAGCACACGCATTTTTCCCTCAAACGCAGGCTCCGCTACAGGGATCCTAGGCAAATGTACATAGCCATGGCGGTTTCAACAATACCTTGTATCGATATAGTATCAGTATTGTCAGCGAGCCAATGCTACATCGCCAAAAGCAACTATCGAACCGTATCGGCATCGAAGTGCTACCCACCTTCCACCCCGCGCCCCTACACCCCTACACCGTTGCACCCCTACACCCCTGCCCTACACCCCTGCCCTACACCCCTGCCCTACACCCCTACACCCCTACATCCCTACAACCCTACAACGCTGCAACCCTACACCCCTACCCCACTACATCTTACCCCCATACCCGCCCTACACCCCACACTCCTATACCACCCGTACACCCCTACACCCCTACGGGGTTTCCCAAAATTAGGGGTACCTTCTTGGGGGTCCCTGTAAAAAGGAATATACTATATTGAGGTCTAGATTGGGGTCTCCCTATTTTGTGAAACTACTTGCCATGTATCATATTAGATGCAAGTTACCAAACACTTCTTGGGATCCCTGTTGAGTTCAACATTTCCCGAATCCCACACTATAGTGCCCAGAAAGACCAGTCGCCCGGTCTCGGAGGGTGTGCCGGAGCTCCCGTCACGTCTTGGGGAATCCTTGCTTGAAGGCTGCCATTTTTCAATTCTTATCCCTACATCCCCAAAACCTAATTTGCCTCATATCCCAAAATCCTCAAAACCCTAGATCGTTACACCTCTTTTCCTTAAATCCTCAACCCAAAATCAACCCCTAAGCCCTAAAACCTAAATCCCAAATCACTACACCATGTTTCAGGCTTCGGGTCAAACTCTCAAATTGAAAGCCTCCACAGCTCCATTAGAATCCTAAATCCATGCTCTCCTCCTCCGTCCTCTACGTTAAGGCCTTTGGTTTCAAGGTTTAGGGTTTAGGGTTTAGGGTTCAACTTGGAAGCGCGTATGCTGCTACAAACCCCCATATCATAGTAGTTTCCATTTGAATTTTCCATTATACCACCAAAATAACCCCTATACTAAAAGTTTCCACTGTATTTTCCATTACCCCAATGGAACCTCTATAAAAGCCCTCTATTGTAGTAGCTTCCATTTCTCCATTATCCCAATATGACACTGAACCCTAAGCCCCAATATACCAAGAACTCTTGGTCCGATCTTGTAGGCTGTTGCTAGAAGTTTTCGCGTCACAGGCTTGGTTTTGGGCTTGGGGTTTGGGGTCTAGGGTGTAAGGTTTACGGTCTAGGGTTAGGGCTTGGGGTTNNAGGGGTTTAGGGTTTGGGGACACTGCTGGAACCTTCCCTGCTACTGTTACTGGAGGCCCTTCCAGGCCGCTTGCGAAGGACAAAATGGGCATTAAGGTATCAGGTTTAGGGTTTGGGTCCATGCATGCCTCTAAGTAATCGCTTGCCCCTAATATGAAATCCCCCCTCATATTAAATGCTGCATTCAGGGTCCTAAATTTCCTGAAGATTACTTGCAAAGGAGGAAGGCCACTGTTAACAGGGGCCACATAAGACTGAATTACCAGGGGGTTCAATGGATGATAAGTTGTGAAATTCGTAACCACTTAATTAGTTGAATGTTCGTCCAAATAATTCCTGTCTTATGTAAGTGAATAGTTGTTTTCAGCAATTAGATAAGTCTTCAGTTTCCAGGATGTTAAAGGCAGCACTATCCTATCTAATTCTTTGAACTCATAGCCCCAATAGTATCAAACAATTGTTCGGGCCCGGGATATTGGAGGCGGGCGGGGGTTGTTTATGAAGCTTTGGGCGCACCCATGCTGAGCAGGTTCGACAGGGTGGGCCTTTAGTTCTGTTAAGATGATTCACTTGAAGCCTAGATATGCGACAGCTCTTGTGCTCAAACACTAAACCCTAAAGCCTCTTCGGCTGATACTGTCTGCAGCGAGAGTCGGGTTCAGGATATTGCTGGTCATGGTTTGCAAGCTGCGTGCAGCGCAGTGCGTAGAGTTTGCAAACAAGACAAGCATGCCACCGAAAAAAAAAAAAAAAAAAAAAAAAAAAA